GGAGGACCAGAGAAGCGGTCAAAACTCGGCCCCCAAAGAGGAAGCAACCCTGGACTGAGAGATGGCCAGCCCTAGAAAAGCTCCCATAGAAGCCCTGCTCTGCCCAGACCAGCTGGCCAACTCCCTAACCCGCTCCAGGATTCACTTTCCCTATAGAAAATGGAAGCGTGGACAGGGCAATTGATCTCAGTCATCCATCAGCCGTCAGGGAAATAGGGGCAGGGAGGTTGGTTCAACTGAACAAGGATCGGATGCCAGCCCTGTATTCAATCTTGTATTAGGCCTCTCTGGGGAATTAAGAGGAGACCACTGTGATGATACTAGCTCGTGTTGACTCACAGGTGCTGAATGCTTCCGTTTTACCAGCGGTTTATAAAGCACAAGGTTTAGACCAGCATCACCTGGGAACTTGCTAGCTCTGCAAATTCTAGCACCTCACCCGAGACCTACTGACATTCTGGGAGTGGAAGCCCTGCAATCAGTGTCTGAAGGAGCCTTCCAGAAGATTCTGACACTTGCCCAAGTTGGAGAATCCACTGCATGGTACCAAGGTTGTTCCTTCACACCTGCTGTCCCCCTGCCTGGAATGTTCTTTCCCCAGATCTGCGGCCAGCTGTCCTTCTGAGTAAAGAGGATGAATTAAGCTCCAGCCCCTACTTTCACTCTCTCCCAAAACCCCACTGCAGTGATAGTATAAGCGACTGTTTTAAAAGCTACACCAAAAATTGTAAGCCATCGGGGTGGAATGCCAAATATAATTTCCCTAGCCAAATGCCACAATCAGCACCGTGTCTCAAGCCTCAGTTATCGGTGACTGCCCCCCACCCCAGCTCCAAAAGAGAGTGTGGTGGGTGACAGCTAAAACAGAAGCGTTGGTCTAAAGTAAATTCCCAAAAGAGATATCAGCTCTGCTCCCCTTCAGGCTGGAACCGCAGCCGTTTTGGGTTTTTTTGTTTTTTCCTCCAGACAGCGGATATGGCAGCGTTTCTGGTGGGAGGAACGCAGTTGATGCAAGAAGAATCACGCCAAAAGCATGTGTTAAACAAACGTGTGAACTTGAATGCAGGATCTGAAACTTTCCCACCTTGCCCCTTGCCCCCCCACTCAGCAGCCAGGATCTGAAAGATGGGGATGGTGGGATCCTTTGTCTGAGGAATCTGACCAACCAGGAAGATAGATATAAAGATACTGAGGCCAGGGGCTTCCCTGGTGGCGCAGTGGTTGAGAGTCCGCCTGCCGATGCAGGGGGCACGGGGTCGTGCCCCGGTCCGGGAAGATCCCACATGCCGTGCAGCGGCTAAGCCTGTGAGCCATGGCCGGTGCGGCT